GGAGGGTTTGTTAATATTATTGCATGCTGAAACACAATTATTGCATAAGTCATTCCTGTATAGGCTGCGGGGGGGTGGGGGGGTGTATTACTGTAACTGCGATTACCCCCACCAATGATGTTTCTGGGAAAGTTTGAGCAAAAAAACCCAAATAATAATAAATATGATTTCCAGTTTGGGGATGAGAGACAGAAATGTTTTTGCTTCATGTTTCATCAGTGTTATTACTGTGTTACATGTTTTGGGAGAATAAATTGGCAAAGGTGTCTTAAAGGATCAGTGGTTCTATACAAGAAGAAAGAAGAGAAACTTTATATGAGGCCAGAGCAGAACAAAGCTTCCACAGTGCGACTATAGAGTCTTTAGTAAAAGTACAGGCAGTGATTTTTTTATATTTTAAGTGGGACGCTGCCTCTCCTGACCTGTAACACCGGGTTCATTCAATTGGCAATACAACCCATCTTGTCAGTCACACGCACATGCACGCACACACACACTCACACAAACACACTCACACACACACTCACATCTCAGTCAGTTAATTCAAGATTCCTGTATGACAAGACAAAGATAGAAAACAGAGTCGAACAATCTTTCCTCAACATCCACATATTCGACAAAGAAAAAAGATGTCATCTGAATAATCACTGTCCGTTTTGAAAACAGTTATAGGTTCTGAGATATATATAAAAAACATGTCTAAACAATGATATATTTTTTTGTTTGTTTTTTTCAAAAATAATTTTAGAAAAGTGAAGACTGGCACTGTTTGGGGGGGATCCTGTGACCACCTGAGCACCCGTCAGGCTACACAACCATTTTTGGAAAATACAAAAATTCAATTCAGTGGTTTGTGGTCACCTGGTCGCACACTGCAGAGGCCACCGTCCCTGTGTGGCTACGACTATACTTCACATGCACAGGTTTTGGCAAGAGAGTGAGTGCTGATGAACGTTGGAAGCCAAAAGAGAGCTGCGGTTGCCTTTGGAGGAGGGGGAGGCGTCGAAAAACACAACACGGCCGGATTAACGACAATAAACCCTGTACCTTCAACAAAATCCTGACCAGTGAGATTCACAGCGCGCAGTTTCTCAGAGGAATGCACATAAACAGGTTCCAAGCTACAGGGGGCGGCTTCTTCCAATAGTAAGACGGAGCTAAGTCACTAAAATAGAAAGAACATCATCAGGCAGCCAAATGGGCAACACAATCAGGAACACACAATCCAGTTCACAATCATAACTGGAGACTGTAAGTACATGAAAAAATTAGGAGTGAAGCTAAAAACCTGGCATCAGAGCGAATGAGCTGGACTAACAGATTCTGATTCGTGATGCTTGAAAGGATCGTTTGGTTTTTTTTCCTCTAACACAGAGTTTAACCAACACGATCATCATGTCTGTATGCTGCTGATCTTATTTACTGGATGGCATTAAAATGTTCTCCATGCATATCCACCAGTAAAGACGTATTTTATGTTGTATGGAATATGAATATAAAGAGCCAATGGGTGCATATTATAAGCACTTTGTTATTTCACTTGAAATTGTGGTTACATGGTACATTTTACTAGATAAAGTTGTGCGTATGCACAAATTCACAGACTGTGGGAGTTACCAGGGGCCTTTTCAAAATGGGTTAATCTGCTCTGATATCAACACAAACTGGTTTTGAACTTGGATACGATCTACAAGTGAAGTTGCACCTTGACGTCCGCAGACGTATTAACACACAATCAGCATACAAAGACATAAAAAGACACCTGTGGGTTCGTCTGACTCAGTGTTGGCCGAAAAAAAACCTCTCCATAACCAAGCTATTTGTTTAGGCCAGGTGCTGGTTACACAGAGCACGACTGCCAGTGTAACCACAACAGAACAAGGCTTCAAACGTGAACTCTTCAACCTGTTAGCATGTTGATGACAAGGATTTCAAAAATGAGGGATAAAATTGCCTGTGGAGTGATTTTCTCCTGGCCAACGTCAGGCTGTTTTCAGGCCGTGCTTGGTCCTGATAATCCCTTCTTTTGTTCTCTCGACCTTCGCAGCCTTCCTGAGGAGGTTGGGGACAAAACATAACAAAAACAAACACCCCACAGAGGGTTAAAAACACGGTCCTTTCCTTCTAGAGTTTGGTCTGTCAGACGTGAAATACAACGGAACATTTCAAACAACCTTTAAAACAACCAAATACAAATCAAACAGATAAAATAAGCTTTTTGAAAGTGTGCTGCGAGGCTTGTTCATCCACAGATTTGGAGACGATTAAAGTGCGTGTCGCTCACTGTCAAAATTGTCCAGTGAAAACGTTTGTTTGTTCTCTCGTCACATCAGCGAAAGGAGACTCAAACAGACGCGTGGTGTGATTATCTTCTTCAGACGCATCTACGCCTGTTCCTCTCTTTCTGTCCTGATCTGAGGTCTGTTTCTCCGGACCTGGAGTGATCCACCACGAGGTACTACAGAAAAAAAATGTCCATCCACACAGCTCGTTCAGTCTGGCAGTGGGTTTTAAACCTCTTAACTTGAACAAAGCGGTACATCTCGTGATGCTTGTCTCCAATCCAGCTCATCGTCTACTTCTGGAAACGTCATTAAAAAAAGAGAAATATCTAAAACTCAATGCTAGACCCACAGCAGTGTAAAGATGGATTTTTTTGCAGAAGTGAAAAATATGCTGGTTCTGTGCATCATGGCAGCAACAGTATACAGGACCATGGCTAGATGGAGTAGGTGGAGCTCTCAGACTGCTGGTGGATGTAGCACTGAAAACTCTTGTCTCCAATCGGGTGCTCCCTGTGGAAGCGGAGAGAAAGATGGTGGTGGTTAGAGAATCGACTCATGGGACTGAACGGAGCATACATGTGAGAAAAGTCAAGTTTCCTGTTTGGAGAAAACAGCTGGAGGCCAAAAGCACCACCTGCAGGTCGCTCAGTGTAGATTTCAGTTCTCCACCAATGCATTAAATACAGTATAAGATAACAGTAGTTGAGAAAACATTTTAAAAGCTTGAGTTAACAATAAACCACGTACTGGCTGCCGATCCTCGTCTTCTTGAACTTGTCCCGTTTGTACTTGGTGTGCTGCTCCTCCAAAGTCTGCACGGCTGAAACGATCAGCTTCAGGGTTTTGTAGGTCTCCTGCGGGTCGTCGATGACAAAGCTGGAGTACTCCTCCTGTTCGGGCCCGTCGTACACCGACTTACTGCCACAGGCCTCTGCAGGGGGGGGGGGCACCAGAGGGCAGAGTCAGGGACAGTGTGCAAATGATCACAGGAGATAAACATGGCACACATGAAATCATGCACACCTTGCATCTTGATGAGTTTTGTCATGTATGTGCTGAACAGGGAGTAAATCCTCTCAGTTTCTCTGTCTCCGTCCACGTCCAGCTGAATGTTTGCAGGGAGGCCACTGAAAACGCAGACAAATGGAAAAATTAGAGAGAGACATGGCAAAGAGCGTGATGCTGGATCGATCCGGACAAGTTCACGAACCCGGTGCATGGCGTACATCCCGTGGCTGTGTCCGCTGACAGCTTGCAGCAGAGCCAGTGGCCGTTGAGGTAGGCTGAGGGATGGTAGGTGCTCAGGCGCTTGCGGTTGCACTGGCTGACTTTAGTCAGGATGTCGATCCAGTCGCGCGCCTCCACACAGTTGTTGGCCTGGATGTAGAGGGCTCGCTCTGGCTGAATGACCTGGAACATCTGGAGGAGGGAGAGTGGAAAGGAGAAGTAAGCGATGGACTCTAGATACATGTGGGAGAGATTTTGGACAAATACTAAAGGCTATAAAGTTTGTGAGGTCCTACATTTTTCATCTTGAAAGACTCCTCCTCCAGCCGCTCTACAGCCAGGATGTTTTCTATGGGAATGCTGCACAGAGCGCCTTCACCTGGAGGGAAGAGGAATCACATCAGACATGAGAAATGAAAAACAGAAGCTGTTTTCACACATTTTCTCAACAAAACTTCTGGAAAATTGGTGATGATGTAAAATGATGATTTTCGTTGCCATGTTGTCGGGATAAACGCACATTCAGCTCATCTTAACAGACAAGGAAACGACGATCCTGAGAGAGTTTGAATCATACCTTTCGTCTTGTGGTAAGTAAACTCGTGGTTCGTGAGGCGAAACCATCTCTTTTTGAAGTTCTTCATTCCAAACCTGTTTCTCCCCTGTGCTCTCTTTATCATAAATCTGTGGAGAAGTGGGTGAGAAACCCCCCCCAACTGTTAACCATGCTATATTTTTATATTACACAAAACTACTTTACATAAGACAGTTGGTAACCAGCATTTTATTCTGGTCAAAGAAATCTTGTACACTCAGTGATCTTTTATCATTCCAGTTGCATGCTGTCAGTTCAGTGGATTCATCTCTGCTGTATATGTAAAAAAAACCTCAGTACAGCACTCATACATTTAAAAGTGTAAAAGGAGACAAGTCGGCAGATTGAAGGTACCAGAAGGGTTTTTACATATTTTAACTAATGACCTATAAATCGTATTTCAGGTTTTGACAAATCATCCATACAACAATACAAGTGTTGGGGTGTTAATTGTTATAATGACCCTTTGAGTGTTTGTTTTTTTTTTAGATGCAAAAATTGAGAGGTTCTTAATTGAAAGTTAATTATTTTTTTCCATTTTTCTATTTAAAATATGCCAAAAAGATTTGTTGTTGTGTTTCATCTTCTCTGATAAAAGGAACTGCTTCTTCCCTGAGTTTTATGTCATCGTAAGCTAAATATCTTTGGTTATTTCTTTACTGCGCGTTGGACAAAACTAGACTTTTGAAGAAATCACATTCGACTTTGGGAATCTCAGATCTGCATGTGCCATTTTTTTCTCACAACAATTAAATGATTGATCCTGAAATTAACCAGCAGATTCCCTGATAATGAAAATAAGATTTATTAAACTTTGAGCGATTATGTGAGATGTACACTATTCGTTGGTAAAACATGTAAAACCACTGACATGGTTCTTTAAAGGAGAGTAAATGCCAAGATGTCTTAGTTTTTAAGCTTGAGGGCCACATAATACATGGAACACAAAGTACCAGGGTTATAAACACTAACACTCTCCCGCAGGAAAACTCCTACTCATATTTCACTACTGAGCCAAAAGAAAAAACGTGCTGGCTTCACATCTGCCATGACGCCTGGTGGTGTGCTGGAGACTCTAACGCGTACGCCTGAGATATGGTCATGGTCTGCGCATGAGGAATTAAGGGTCAGGATGCGGGCAGATATGAAATCTTAGAAATGTTTGCACACTAACCGAACCGCTGCTGTCGCTGTCACACCAAGCATGTGTGGCGTGTTGAGGAGCGAGGGGGACAATCTGCACTAGAGACTCCTCCTTAATAAGCAGGCCTAAAGGTTCACACTTTACTTTATACCATTAAAGACACTGTGAGTCTACAGCCACAGTGTCGCGGTTCAAGTTGCTTTTCTACAGATATGAAGTAAAGTGCAGCAGCATCTACAGGCAGTGCGGGAAGTTGGTGGGGGAGAGAATGTCTGGCTCGGTTTGGAGGGGGTCATGGTGCACACACAGGAGGGGGGCGGGGTCACAAGGGCAAAGCCTTTATACAGAGAAGCTCTTACCTGCCCTTTGTGCCTTTTGACCCTTTCCCATCAACCCTCTTTATAGTGAGTTTTACACTCCTACGCCCGGTAGCAGAAACAAAAGAAAGGGTGGGGGGGTGTTTGTGAGCGAGGCACCGGCACAACTACCAACAACTGGAAACTCTCCAAAACTTTAACTTTCAACTGTCAAAATAAAATGAAATAAAATAAAAGCCCTTGTGTTTACAGGAAGGTTTCAGTTTACAGCTTCAGATGCATCGTCAGTGAAACTGTTACATATGGACATTACCTGCAATGTGATGTGTACCAACTGTGATGCTAAAGTTTGACATTTTGGATCTGAATAAGAGTTAGGTGTAAAGATTGATACCACTCTCTCTCTCTCTCGGCTGCTCAGTATGAAGCTGCAGCCCACAGCTGGTTGCATTATGACAGAACACAGAGGAAACATGCAGCCTGGCTTCATCTGAAGGTAAAAGTAATCTGCCAATCAGCACCAGTAAACCTCGCCGAATGTACAAAAACCCAAATGTAAACCAGAAACTAGTAACTTCCTTAAATTCCTTATGAGTCTGAAATAGTCTGAAGCTGAAGACATCCTTCCTATTCCCAGATTACAAACAGTATTTGAAGCGAAACGGAATAAAAACTGTGTATATCTCCTTTAGAAGTGACACAAGCTGTTAAGGTCTGCCAATAAAACGACAAAGGTAATCAAACTGAAAAGTATAAAATAAAATAAAAACCTTTAGCGTTATTTTTACTCTACAGATATGAGTGGTATCAATCTTCTCATTTTACTCTCTGCCAAGAAGTAACAATTGACCAAAATGTTAAGTATTCGGTAAAGTTTAGCTGTAAAAAATCTACTCAGCTGTTTTGTCTGAAAGAAACTCATTCATTGTGATTTCTAAAAAAAACAGTCATGTGAAATAAATTCTCTATTTGGTATGGGGTGCTGCTTGATTTGTGGTCTGTGTTTCCACTAGTATGTTTTTACTTGTATTAGTTTTACAGTAAGTTGGCTGCTCACCCCTCTTTGAGCATGATGGGTGTTTCAATACTCTTCTGATCCCATTTGCCAGAGGTGGAGATCAGGTCCAGGAACTGCAGAGGGAAGAGAAGGATTTTATTTATCATATTTACTGTTTTTTCACTCTCGCACAAAACTTTCTTTTGGTTCCTTATCCAAAATATCTAAATCTTTTAAAACCCTTTGATGGGCGTTAATCTAGATGCAACTGATACACAAGACAAAAAGAACAATTGAGCAAGATTTATTGAACACAACAAGGTAAGAAGCCAAACGCTCACATTCTTCACAGCGTCCGCATATTTCTGCTCGTTGAAGTACTCGTAAAACGCAGCCATGTAGGACTCTTTGAAGTTGGCCTTAACAGAGTGGAAACAAAGATCAGAGTAAATGTTAAGATAAAAAAAAAACAATGAAGCCGAGTCTGATAACATAGATGAAAATAGGAAAAATCTTTTTGAGCAGTGAAACGTACAGATTTAGACTTTGCGAGACTTCCCAGGGTCTGGATCGTCTTGGAGATTAGGGTCAGGGTTCGTGAGGTGGCGGGATCCTGGGTACAAAACAAAATCAAAGATAGATAAAGTACTATTAAATAAATATAAAGACAAAGAAAACGTTTCCTCAGTCAAGAATGACCTTTTAGTTTTCAAGCAACATAAATTAGAAAACTATGGAAACTTAAACATCCACCTGCTGAGGAACATCATGTGACATATGAAGCTACTGTTTCCAGGTCATTTTAAAATTCTTTTTTTTCAGAGTAATGAGTGTATTTGTACATATTCAAGCGGAAGATACTTTATTCGTTCCAAACAGCAGGTCCACAATCACACACACAAAAACAATCATTAGAAAAGGTTCAACTATGGCCTCTGACTGGTAAGACAAAAAAATGATATTGTAAAAAAGAGTACAAGTGTCTAAAACCCATTTCTGATAGCATTAACTCCAAGTATTCATAGATGACAACATGTGCAGAGCTGTTCATAATCTTATAACCTACATAGAGGACTTGTTTATTATATTTGCTATGAAATAGAATAGTGTGGATATGAGAGGACTGAAACAATCTTCTTAAATAAAGGTTTATACGCTGGTGAGCTTCTTTCTTTTCACAATTAAATCTATACTTTCTCTAAATCATAATATACTTGCAGATCTTGAAATTTTAACATGTATGACATGAGTGACATATTCGTGACACGTGTGTTTGCTTCTCCTCTTAAAATCAGACTCACTGGATGGTGCGGCAGTAGATGGAACAAGTTGGGGGAGAGGATGGCTGGAGCAAAGAAACGCAGGAAGATGAAACTGCTCACTGCTGTGTATCGTACGTCCTGGTCGACTGGAGAGCAGAAAAAAAACAACACAAAACAGAGTTAGCTGTTTAAAATTACACCCAAAATATTACACATAGTCATTCTGGAAAAAGGTACTGTCTGAATTAGCAAGTAAATTAGTTGCAATTAGTTTTATATTGTAGCTTTTACTGGGACCCCAAATAAAAATCAACTTTGTGAATATGGGTGATATAGAATAGGTTGGCTGTTCACATGTGAAATATTATATAATAAGTAATAAGTAATTCACTTTTAGAAAAGCCTAGGAAATCTAAAAAAAAATCTTTATCTGAATCTTTCTCAAGATTGGGCAGTTATTTTTAATATATGTATAAATATGTTATTTAAACGCATATAGGAACACCCATTTTATAACCAATGTTTTTTATTATATGTGTAACAAGAGGATGATTCTTTGTCTTGTAATCAAAATTTGGTATGGGACAGGTTTTCTTTTTCTATAATATAGAAATATAAGGTAAGTAACACATTATTATAATATTTCTCTGCTTGCGCCTCCTGTGACTGCAGTGCTCTGTGGTGGCCAACAGGAGGCAGTGCAGTATAGGACAATGGGTGTACATCGACGCACAAGAATAATAAGTGTGCAGGAGGCTTAAGTGGTTTCAGATTTGACACAAAGAGCTGAGCACAAAAAAAACAACCTTTGATGCGATCCTGAGCAAACAGAAGAAAAAATGTCCTTGGGCATCTCGCACATCCTGTTCTTTATTGTCTGTTTCCTGTTGCTTATTAGCTGCTTTCTTTCTTTCTTTCTTTCTTATTTCCATCTCTTGCATTTTGTTCAGGAGGTGGGTTACCTTGGAAACGAGTGGCAGCGGACTCTCTCAGAGAGAAGAAGATATCGCACATGACGGTGGGACAGCGAACACCAGAGGTGGTGATGACGTTGAAGATGCGGTCGACGTACTGATGAAGGTTTTCCTGAGGAAAGAGAGCAGGGCGGAGGTGTCACACAACACGGCAATGATCAACCCAACACAAACACACACACACAACACAAACTCGCCCTCTTACCCTGTTTGTGTCCAGGTTCTCCGACTCTTTCAGCTTCACCGGGTCGATTTCACAGGGTTTGTGTTCTGTGCAGATCTGTGAAGATTTAGAAAAAGCTTTACACCTCCACTGGCAATTGATTTCCTAAAATGTCCTCAGACGTGCCACATGTGGGACGAGTTAAAATACAGTGGAAAAATACTGAGTACAGGAAAGGGCACAGGAGTGTTGCAGTGTCATACCTCATCTATGATGGGTTTAAGTGTGACCTGCAGATAGTGCATTCCTGCCAGCTTCATGGTCTCATCAATGCACTTAGAAGTCAGCGAGTTTCCCCGGAAAATGGTGTTTGGATCCCTGCAGAAAGGAGGCAGAGTGTGATTGAGAGCACAAACTAAATCTAACTCAATGAGACGACGAAGCTGAAGCTAAAGTAAATTAAGAAAACATGACGTCTGATGGTAATTTAATATCCAAAGTAAATAATATTAAAGAGGTAGAATATGTTTGAGATGTTTGATCAAAGTAGTTGAAGATGGCAACTGTAAAAAAAAAAAAAAAAAGCTAATCATGGCCTGTTTTCAGACATGAAATCAGGTTGTGGCATTTTCCCGAAATGTTCCAGAAGGGCTGTATGTGAGGACGCAAATGTCCGGCTGAGCTAGTGTGACAATACAGCAGGAAACTTGTTTGGAAAATCCACAGCGAGTGAGTCGGTGTGTTGATGATGTTTTTAAAATGCAACGCATTTTCTGTTGTTGTGACTCGGACAATGTCCTGCTGCATTCTTTATATGTGAAAGAAAAATCCTGAACATATCCAGATCCAATTGTCCAGAATTCATGTCTGAAAACTCCTGTGGTGATACGCCTGCAACTGAATTAGCCACCAAATGAAATCCCTGATATATAACATTAACTTGTATAAAATAATTCTACTCATATTGCTGCAAACAAAGATAAAAGCTGCACTCTGAGGTCAAACTGAATCATGTATTAGCTGTGGAGCTTGTTTCTGGTGTTATTCAAAGAGAAAAGATGTGAAGAGACACTCACTGTGTGCGGTTGACTTCAGCGTGAGCGATGGCGCTGATGAAAGGCACGATCTTGCCATAATGAAGAAAGAGGCGCACGAGGGGAATGGCTGCTTCTTGCTTTTCTCGACACACCTCCCCCAGTGTGTGAGCGGTGGACGCTGACACAGGCTGAACAGAGAGGACGTGGTGTGAACAAGTAGCGATCAGACAGCGGCGTGTGAATGTGTGAGTGGAGCTGAGACACGTTTATACGCTCATACTGTACCTGGACATCAGCAGAGTACAGCAGCAGATCTCTGAGAGGAGTGTAATGTTCGGACGGGAAGACGTGGTCCTCGGTGTAAACGATGTTCAAACGCAGAGAGCCGAGCTCCTCCACCTTCACTGACTTCCCTCCGTTCTCCCTCGGCTGGAGAAAGTACCTGAAGAAGAAAAAGGACAAAATATCCCAAGTTTTACTGATTGGTTGGATTTTGAATTCGTGGCAGATTTTCAGACTAAAATGGAGCTAAACATTAGTTTAAAGCTGCACTGAGCTATAGTTTTAGCAACAATAATAAAATGACTGATGTTGCCAGTTTCCCTCAGTTTTTTAGCATCTCTTGGGTAATTTTTTTTTTTGATTCAGGGCTTCATGACTTTGTTATCTTGAGCCATAAATAACCAAATGTTGGTGAGTTGCTGCGTGTCTACTTTTTGTGTAAACAAGAAACGTTTTGGCTGTTTCCTTTCTTATTTGATTTATATATATAAATAATTTATTTTTATACATCTTTAACTCATATATGTGGCTAAAATATGTTTAGCCGCGTCATGTATTTGTCGTGTATCAGTGTATAAGTCTATGCTTGTCATATGAAATGTACAATATAAACTAACTTGACTTGAGTTCATTCGATATGTCACTGTTGTGTTAACAGCTGACACTGACTTTGTTTGTGAGGGACCAAAATTAACTTCAATATAGTAATGATTGAATGTACTCATTGACTTCCCACCGCTGGACAGAGCATGGTGATTTAATGTGTCAGTAACGTTTCTCTCACCACTCACCATGCATCGTGAACCCCGACCTGACCCAGGACTCGCAGAGGAACTCGCACGCCTCCCAGGAACTCATCCCCGAACTTCAGGTTGCTGGCGTTCCACAGATCCACCCTGAACAGACCACAGGGAAACAGCTCAAACCTGGGAGAAGCTTTAAATGACACAAAGTTCAAATTCCCGTAAGACCGCTTCTGGCTCACCTCAGCGCCAGTTTGTCAACGTCCTCTTCTTCGACATCAAACTGTCGCTTTGTGTAACTTAATGGTCGTGTCACCTAGAAATGGAGCACAAGCCGAGTAGAGGTCAGTATTTTGTGCTGGTACGCCACAGAGTCATATTCATCCTGAACAATGTGCTGTAATGACTAATCAATCTGCAGATGATTCATCTGCAACCATTTGTTTTTGTATTTCATATTTTTCACCATGTAAACAAGCAATCTGAATATGTCCCTCTAGAATTAGGATTCCATCCAACCATTATCTGTACAGCTTATCCTTAGCCAAACAATTGGCAGAATAACAATAGATAAAATAATAATTATAAATTTTGTGAATTGTAAATGTTCCTAATCCAGATTGGATATAAAAAAAGAGTATTGTATGCTCTGCAGACTGTAAACCCCCCTGAGGCAAATATGTGTGATATTGGGCTATATACAAATGAATGGACTTGACACAACATCCTTTTATGGTGTGGAAAACATGATTTTCTTAATTTCCGGATAGTTCGTTTTAAATTGGGCTGAAATGTGGCTTGACCGAAACAAAACTCTAGAAACTGCTCCAGATAAGAATGAGTTAGAGTTCATGTAGGTTTGGAGCAGGAACACATGACAGACGCATGAGTAACGGCCTGAGTTTGCATGTGGATGCTGAGCTCTGCGTGTGACACCCAGGGTGGGGGGGTGGGGTGGGTTGCATGGGGGCTGCAGGGCAGAAAGCACCACATTGGGAATAAATGAGACGATCTTGTCGAGCAGAAATCAATGGGCCAGATTGTTTGGTGGTTTGTCCGAATCAATCATACTCTTGTCCCGCTGAGTTCTGGAGGCCAGAGGGAGGAGCCAAACAAAAATGTCCGAGCAGTGTTGCTGGGGAGCGAGGGTTAACTGGGCCAGTGATAGACTCAGGGATGTTGTGTAATCAGACAATATATACATGTGTATTTAAATCATCACATTTGCATTTATTTATTCAAAGTGACTTAGGGACAATATCAGTCTAAGAAATAAAACTGCAAAATGTAAAAGTTTTAAATTTTAAACTAAAATCCAGTTAGGTTAGGTTCAAATACCTCCACCATATGTTCTGATTGTAGTGAACAAGGGAATTTTAATTTGTTGGATTTCACATAAAAAGTATATTGAGGGTGCCGGATGTTTGGATCGATAAAAGACAACCTCACTGCACATGTGATGAGACTGAGAAGAAATCAGGCTCTTTACAAAACATTTTTTGTTCATGTTTGTCACTTTGGATATTAAAGGCTCTGCTCAGGTTAAAGGTGGATGGAGCTGTGCCAAGTTATCAGATAAACAAACAAACAAATAAACATTCAAACTAATTCATTAATAATAGGACTGACAGAAAAGTGTCAATCAAGCTCACTTTGAACACACCACATGCTACTGAGAATTGGATTTGCCAAAATAAGTGGAAACGTCTGCTACTATTTCATATCTCAAATATTGCCAAAAATATGAAGACCTGATGTTCTATGTATTTGTGTTCTGGGACTCATGGGAACTGTTTGGATTTAAATCCACACCCACCCAACTCAACCATCTCTCCTGGATTCAGACTACCGGTGTTTCCCGTCCAGTGCCCGTGTTGTTTAAATATCAAATGCACTTATGACCATCACAGTGCCAATGGTTTGTCTTAATATGAGGTTTAGTCAAGACTACTCTTATCACATTGTTATCTTGAAGCAGCAATAAAAATATAAAAATAAAGAATTGTGGTCAATTAATAATTTGCAGCTACATCTAATAACCACATGAGTCTACAGTTCAGTGTCCACGTACTTTTGGCCACGTAGTGTATTTATGGCATGAAAACACAACCTCACATAAAAGGATTTATTTTAAACCAAACAAGTAAACTGCAAAATACCTCAAAATAGAAAACCTCCTCATACTGTGGATTGTTGTTTTTCCTCTTCACCTTGGTCTTTTTGGCATCTGACCTGTGGAGGCATGAAGGTCAAATCACATGTTGGTGTAAAGTCAAACATGAGGCAACAAAGGTGTGGAGGTGACTGGTGAAGTCCACACCTTGAGGGTCCGAGTAAGGAAACAGCAGCGTAGGGATCACATTGGCCATTGACGATTGGAAGACCTTGGCACTCCAACACTCTGTAGAAAAAACATAGAGGTAAATAAAACCATTTAAATCCATACAGACGATTATTATACTAAGTTAGATAAGTCGTTGTTTCAGCCTGAATACTCAACATCATACTGTACTCACTGCTCCTCAGTTTGGAGCTTTTTGAGTTTTCTCAGTTGGAAGTAACAAAGAACATTTTCTCTCAATTACTGTCCTTGAGTTGAAATTTGAGAAATGGATGGAAGTAATTACATTTGAGCTTTTGGCAAAAACTTTTTAAAATCCTGAATGATCCAGCAACTTCAGACCAAGCACAGATACAAGTCCAGAGAGGCAGAAGACATGAGGACATACAGAAAACCAAGTTGGGAAGGATTGATCCTAAACTGATAAAGACAATAACTTGGGCTTCTGATCACTGAATTCTGATTTAACATACACTTTTTCAAACCGTGTATCCATCTGTGATCTATAGTCTGTGTTTTGAGCTCCAGAACACAAACATAAAAAATTGTTGCATCTTTCCATTCATTCATTCATTCATTCATCCCTTATCCTGATGCCATCATGTTGTAAGGGGCTTAGCAAACCAAACAGGACAGGACGAATCATTTCCTGTGTGTCACGGTGATGCACTACTCGTCACTCCACATGACGTATTACACAGCAAATCACAGAGCTGCCCACACACACACACACACGCACGCACACAAACACACACTCACACTCCCAGGTTCTAAGGAATAAGGAGTGGGCTGGGTTAAGCATCACTAATGCCAGAGTACTTCCTGTCCAATAAGCTTGTTTATATAACCCCTGCTTGGCCTACTATCCAGACCTCCCTGTCCCTCTCCCTCATCGCCGCTGTGAGCTCTGACGTGCCAGACAGTGGCGAGAGGCAGCCATGTTGCTTGCCTTAGTTGACATTACTCATATTAGGTTAAAATGCTTCGTTTCTGTGCCCACGCATCCTGTCAAAAACAATTTCCCGCAAATACGTAAAAAAAAGTACAGCACCCCCCACCCCTAAAGAAACACCGCGTACAAAAAGTAGATGTGATCATGAGTCACTGACTGGTACACTTCCAAATTAGTGAGATGAAATATTAAGTTAAAAGCGAACAGGGAGTTGAGTATTTACTAAAAGGAAAGCGTGTGTTTTGTCATGAGATGCCTCAGATGTTGTTCATGGTTTTACAAAACCGACTGCGTTAATACCACATTGTGAAAATACTCTATTACAAGTTAAGGAGATTACATTACATTGTAAATATTACACTTCTATGTCTTTTTACAAGATATGGGAAGAAGTGCTACAGAGTGTTTTTTGTGCCTCTAGAGGGCGCTGCATGATTTTTTAGTTGTCAGTGATGTCACTTGAATCCGTAACAGTGCAAGTTTGAAAATTAACAAAATCTGAAGATGTGGCTTTTAAAAATAAGCTATATATATATTTATATACAACCCACAGACTGCATATAAAGATGGGTTGCACTTTTCTGCTTCCTCCAACTATCTAAACATGATGTTAAAATATGTTGGATAAGAACGCCGCCATCTTGCGTATTTGGAGCCAGAGTTTGCGCAGCAGGGATCAGTCTCAATCATGATGTTTCACAAAGTCTTTATAGCATCAAATAACTAATTAAAACCAAGACTGTGTGTAAAGATGGACGACATGACAACTCCCCAAAAGTGAAGCCAAATCATCGGGATCACCCCCTGGTGGCTGGCTACAGTAAAGGTCATAAATCCTGCATCCTCCATGTTAATGGACGGGACATGGACCAAACTAAAAAGTACACATTAAATAAATGTCTCCCCTTGAGACTGACATTTGACATGTGATTGATTTGGGCACAAATTTAACCTGGCGTTGTACCGATTGCAAATGACCTGAACCTTTACATGAAACAGTTGCTGACTAAGAACTTGCATTAAGCTTTACGTAAAGAGAAGTGTGTAGTTTCTTTCAGTCGATCAGTATCATGTGTGGAGCTGAGTGGACACAGTTTGTCACACACACACACACACACAGGTCTTTTCATAGAGATGTGACTAAATGACCTCCTGCTCAACACTCTAAGCTCCTTACCCACAATGTGCTCTGTGAGCAGAGCCCGGCTTGCTCATCAGCAGACTTTACAAGTTACAGAAGAAGAGCTGCAGAGCAAACAAGCACACACATGTACACGCCAAATTAATCATTCATCCCCTGCAAACACAAATGCATGCGTGTCCATTCACATTTTACACACACACACAACAACACAGTCACACGCACTTAAGAGCAGATTTACAAATTCATGACTTCCACTTCTAGAATGTGTTAATTTACATAGTGATCTGCAGTTGGCAGTGAAGAAGGTAAAGAAGTGGAGTGTGTGCAGCAAAACATGGATGCATATTGTGCAATGTTGGAAGAGTAAGAAATACAGGAAACACACAGGAATTTGTTTTCTTATGATAAAAAAGAAATGAGAGCTCAAAAGACGAAGGTATCACCAAAATCTGTTTGTCCATCTGTCATTGTTCCATCATCCTGTATTGCGACATGTATTGTGGTTTTGGTGTGAGTTTCATAATGGTGACACCCCTGATGCACACAGTACATTCTGGTAGGAAGCTTTAAATGTAAAAACGGAATTTTTGTTTGCATACAACTCAAGACTTCAAGAAGTTCCAGACCTTCAACAGTGGGTGGAGTTAATCTTTTTAATCTTGTTATCTTTGTTAATGTTACACTGTTATATAATAATATAACTGTAAATTCCCGAATTGTGTATTTTCTGTAACAACGTTTTTGTATCAGCAGGGTGTGGGAAATAAAGTTGTCTTTGTCACAATTGTGTGTGTGTGTGTGTGTGTGTGTGTGTGTGTGTGTGTGTGTGTGTGGCCTCACCGTGTGGCTAGTTTATGGCTGATGACTCCGTTGTCTGTGATTACTTCACTAAGACGTAGTTCCAGGTGCACTTTTCCCTGCACGACACAGACAGACACACACACACAGACACACACACACACACACACACACACAAAATTAGACACATTTTATTTATCACATATTATCCATTGAGATTAGAGACAGTTCAAAGTTCTGGTTGTTAACGATTAATTATGAACACTTCACACGGCCAGGTGCCCAGTATCTGGGAGGACATTCACTATCCAGTGAGAACCACTCACTAGATACTGACAACAGTGTGTATGTGCATTAGAGTCGAGTCTGACAACAACGTGCAACCTGATCCAATTGAAGATGTCAGAATAAATTAGATATCATCTTATATCCTATTTAGGTCGGATATAGTTGAAACTTTTTTCCATATTTGATCCATAGTCTGTATTTATAGCCAAAAAACAACAGTTTAACATTCATTGTAAAAAAATACACACACACACATAAAAAATGGAGGCATCCCTCCACCACCAGAGACACTGTATCTGTGAGCCTGAGCGTCATGCTGGAGTTATTCTCCCTCTGAAGTGATTGGATTAATGACATAATGACAGTGTAGCGGTGCAGCTGTCGAGAAAAGCTCCATTAATTAACAGCATCAGTATGCAAACTCACAGGCGTAGCTCTTTCTGGGCCCAGTCGAGCAGAGGGAACAAACACACGCACTTATACAAGTGCGCACAGGTCAAACAATGCGTCCTCTATTGAAAAGAGAAGAGAGACACTCTATCTTCCTACTTCATTTGATCCTTCTCCCTCGCTTTTCTCTCTTCTCTGTCACTGTCTCACACATCCTTCCTCTCCCCGGCTCCTCGGATGAATGTGTCTCTGTTTCAGATCCCTGCTCCAGGGCTACACACACCCATCTGTCTGCAGATGTTACTGTTCACTGTTTACTGTGTCGCTCACTCTGTGTGTGAGTGTGAGTGCTGGGTGTGTGCGTTCCTCTCCGTGTCCGTGTGTGTGGGTGAGTGAGACTGCTGAATAGTGAATAGTATAAAATATTTGATGTATTGAATAAGCATGTAAAACAGAACTGCTCTCCATAGCTGATTCCTGGAATATTTCAAAAAACTATACATGAATCACTGAGATCAATAATGTCAAAATGAATACAGCTCTGCCTGTAGCTAAGAGTACAGATTTAGATTACTCAGATTGTCTTTCGGGTATTTTATAGAACTCACATGATCATAAGAATGTACCATTACATTCACTCAGTTTACCAGTGGCCGATGAAAGTCGCTACATGCATGTCAGAGACAGTCACATGCACTGTCACAAACGTCAAATGACAGAAAACTTGACCGTTTTGCAGAGTGATGAACACACATACACGTTGGTAAATGAACCTTCCGGTATTTCAGACGTCTCAGTTAACAAAGCCAATGTAAACTGTGGCATCTTATTTTTAGTAGAATCGACTGTGTGACAAGGTTCGCAGCTCCGACCACAGGTGTATGCAGCCAAGGAAAACAGTCACAGAAAAGTTGAAGTGCAAATGGTGCACACTCTATTTTAAAATTGAAGATGCACAGAGCAAGGATGTGTTCAAAGCCACGTTTACTCATTTAAAAGTGAAAAACAAGGTGTCTGCACTCAGACCAGGTTTTTGTTGGTCAATCCATCAGGACCGACGAGGCCATGGGAGCTCAGATGATGCACAAGTGCACTTGCTTTTTAAGCTATTAGAATGCTGGACAGGAAAATGACAACTGCATCCGAAACTAGCAAAGATACTAGACAGGGCCCTAAGTGGCTAAGTCCAAACCTTAAACAATAGTCCAAGGCCACAAGTACATGCAAAGCCGTGCCTACAGTCTTTTGTCCACATTTCTGATGCGAGAGCAAAAGTTTGTACAGTAAAAAAAATTGTTGCACATGAGAAAATCAACAGGAAGACAACACCCACATCAGTCTGAAACTGGAAAAGACACCCTGTCACTACTCTTGGTGTCGCTTTGCACCAGGTCTAAGATCGGAACCTGAAACTGAACGATCTACATCTGAGATTGACATTTCAGTCAGGACTGTCTCCCAGCAGGGGAATAAGGTGCAATTTGCTTTGGTATCTGTTTACCTGCATGAACATATTTCTGTAAGACTCCACGATACCCTGTTATTGTTACTCTCCACAGTAAATTAAAAAGACAACCTCAACACGCTTTGATGGGCCGGTGACAAACTTAGCTGTGATGGGGGTGATTGTTTTACCATATACACAGAAGCAGCCAGGTGACTTTGACCCTGCAGCTCAGGTGTTTTAGGTGCACACATGCTTTGTTTGTTAGGGGTCCGCACCACTGCAAACATTAACCTGAAGACACACTATCACACATACATTTGTGCATATACTGCATGCAGGGGAAGTGTAAATGGCTGGGTGTTGTTCGAAATATTCAGATTCCAGTCAATTTACAATACCTGAATTTGAGCACCAATACTTAAAACAACCTTTTTTTCAGATCACGAGAGAATGCTTCGTGTGAGTAATTGTGTGTGTGTGTGTGTGTGTGTGTGTGTGTACGTTTTGTCTCTACTGACCTGCACTTCTGAGTCAGCGCTGACAGGTTGTAGCTGGAACCAGGTGTCTTTGCCGTGATATTTCTGCAGGTCCTCTTTCTTTACTGCAACCTTGCCTATGCAAATGGTAACACACGACAGAGACAAATGACATGAAGACATGGACGTGCTTTAACGTTTTCCTAAAAAGCCACAAACGTTCAGTCGCTAGCAAAAACAAACACCCCCAAATGCTTGCATGCCTGCTCACGTATTGTTTATCCTTGTGCCGCTTGCTTGCATGTGTGCACCTGGTGCAGAAACACTTGCAAAGTCACTGTCAGTAAACTGGAAACCCTGTCACATCAAGTCTGAAACTGAGTCACACCCATACACAGACATGACCAGCGAAAGTGTTGAGGATAATAAAAAAAAAATCACACCCTAAGAAAGATTTTTGCAGTTTGTGGTCACATCAACAAACCATATGACACTACCACACCCTGTTAAACCAATAAAAACATTCGTCCACACCCAAACAGACATACATTTACACCGGTGTAAAGTCTATCCATCTCCACCTTATGAAAGTTTTCTTGTTGTCTGTACAATACAAAGCTAAACAGCAACCACCAGAGCAGTTTAGTATTAGGACTGATTTTATTCATTCACATTTTGTTATTTGAACCTTGATTTTCTATTGTTTGGTTGCAACAGTCCAGAGGTTCACCCACGTTACATAACTTATACACACAAACAAGAACGCTGCTGTTTTATAACACAATTGCAAGACGACTGCTGTTTATCAACAACTGTAAGAAGCCAGCCGACGTGCTTTATAGTGTGAAATGATGGTGAAGCCAGTTGAGGCTTTTTTTTCTTTCCAAACACTCAACATGAATCAAGAAAATCTCATCTCATCTTCCAAGCTGCGTTAGAGCCTCGGTGTGAAAAACAACAGACGGAGCAGCTGTTTACTCACCGATGCTGGAATCCCTCCTGAACACGTCCCTGTCGAAGATGTAGAAGGAGAGGTGTCTGAAGCTTCGTGGGATCTCACAGTAAAAATCCTCCCCGTAGAACGGACTGGAGGGGACAGGAGACACAAGTCAACTCAGATTAGATTTGATCTCTCACAGTGTCTCATGTTTTGTTTTTGTAACAACTAAATGCGTCAAACTAGAAAAAGACACCCCCCACCCCAAAGGATTTTTAATGAAGTGACACATATTTAGCGGCTGAAAGACGTCAAGTAGCATCTTGAAGCAAAGAAAAAATGTGGGGGGGGCAAAAATCACCTACAAAAATTAAGCTGCTAATTATATGGAAAATAAATAAATACAAAATCACTACAAGTCACATGTGTGTAATATGTTTTGATCGCAGTATACACACATTCACATTCCAATGAGAGCTTTTTACAGAATTATGAATTCAGTATGTGAATATTAAGATTTACTACCTAATAATTACATTTGAAGTTTTCATAACAACGCAAAAAACTATTATAACTAATTTTCTCATAGTTATAAAATCTGCTTTCAAATCTGAAAATATGACGTGGTTATTTTTTTCTTTAATAATTACAGCGTGATTGTAAATGAACAGTCTTTTATGAAACACAGTTTTAGATTGTTCTGCATCCCCTGCAATTCTTAATGAGCAAAGGGCTGTGACATAATTTACTGAATGAAAAATATTTTCATCAATGTTTGTGTTTTTGCTCCACAAGTAATTAGATGTGATCAGCCTACAACACAGTTGTATGGAGCAGTACACTCAGTGTGATAATTACATGTGAATAATAATCACTTGTGTGATTGGCCTCTTGTTCCTGTGCTCGTTCTCTCACTGATTGACTGGTTAATCTGTAAACTGTTTCTGCCTCTGGAACATCTGTCAGTGCTGTTCGTCGTGGTTATTGAAAAATTCAGGTTGGGAGTTTTAATTTCACCTTCATGCAAACATCACAGACAGAAACCTTCCACTGGGACAGAACATAAAATAAAGATCACATGTGTCCACATCTTGCTATGAGTCATGTGGACTCTGCTACAACAATAAGCCTGTTTGTGTCCAGTAGCTGGAAGGTCTGTTGACCGCCGCACTCCGCTCAACCTAAACGATGACCATAGAAATCACAGCAATGAGAATCTCGTGAGCCGAGGCCTCTGGGTCGCCGCCAACAATTACTGACTTCTTCAGTTACTCATTGGACATGAAGACAGACAGAGGCCCAACTGCATCTGTAAACAATACCACAAATACAAGGGGCTTGAATCAATCTAATTCAGTTTTGTGCGGTAATGAGTTCTTCATCAACTCGGCCAAATAAAAAAATTGAAAGCTCGAGGCTGGAAGAGAGTCACAATCTGTTCAGCCAAACACGATCTACAAGCAAAGCTGCAATAAAACACTGGACCTGCAGAGCTGCGTATCCTGACTTCATTTCTGAATAGTGGGAGGAAGTGTCCTCCATCTTTATATACATTCTATGGACTGAGGCTAGCTGGTTAGCATGCTAACTTCAGTAGGATAAAATAATTAAAAGAAACAAGAGGGAACTGGGTTATGAGTGAATCGGCTCTAGACGAGTAGAGGAATGAAATTTGACAATTATCTTTTAGACAAGTAAGTAAACAGCTGTCAAGAAACCCTGCCTCCTCCATGTTGACAGATGTAACATGGACCGAACCCAGAAGTCAAGGTACACGTTAAATTCACCTTTTACAAAGATGGTTTCTGTCACTTTAGGTAGTGATGTATCAAATGTTTATTTTTCCAGTAAGAGACTGCCTTGTGATTAGTCAAGCGAGTACATCGTCGGGACATTGATACCGCAGCTCCACACCAGGACCACTACTCCACAGACTGTGGCTTCAAACGATATCGAAAGCCCAATATTGCAGCACCCGTACCCAGGGTACAACAGGACAAACAGTCTATGGTTCATAACACTGGCTATGTAAATCACACAGAGCATCTTTAATCGTGAACACGTCTGTGATGTTTCTGCACTTTCTTCCAGATATTTCTCTTTGCAATGCATGCAATGCAACATGTTTGCACAATATCAGCCTCTAGTTTTGATTTGACTTTCACTATTGCCCTTGTCTGTATCTACCCAATGAGAGGATGAGGAACAAAGCAAATGGGTGGAGGGGCCCCCAGCTTACCAGAGTGACTTCTCCACAATCTCGGTCCTGAAGACCTCCTCTCGGTCCAGGTTAACGGTGCAGTAACAGTCCCTCATCTTGTTTGGCCCCGGGTATGGAGGGATGTTTTTTGCCTCACCTACAAAAAGACACAGGAGGAGAGGGAGCAGGAAGGAGAGAGTGAGCAGTTGTTATTTAGGGACGCTGTTGTAAGCAATAACAATGTTAATTCATGCACGCTGCTTAAAGTGATGAATTATTTAAGAACACTGAAAGCAGGCCGAAAGAAATTGTTATGCAAGTTTACACCTGTTTTAGCTTTGGATGTATCACAGTACTTTTTTGGACACACAAATATCAAGTCATGCTCTCGGAAACACACATGAATAACAATATAACAAGTGTGTGTATATGTGTGTGTGTTGTTAGATCTGTGAATGAAAGAATCTGCGTGGGACATTTCCTGAATCCTGCTGAAGCTCAATCTGTTCATCACATGTGTGACGGATAGCACTCCCTTTACAAGAATGTGGTCCAACCACCCACTGAGACACACAAACACACTTACACACACACACACACATACACATGACACCACACAGGTGGTGCTCTGGTCCCACAGGAGCAATAGATTCTGAAGCCGTGGATCCATGTTAGTCACTGCCATGTCCCTGACTGTGTTTCTCTTCACCCTGGGGACCCTCAGGACTTTGTAGTCTCTAGTTACACTGTGTTAACCCAATATTGTGTCACTATTTTGTTCCAATATGATCCATTATCTGCACAGGAATCGGATGCTGCCATTCAGACGACAAGCTGAGCTGTGGAAAACTTGCACTGTTATATTTGGCTTTTAATGAGTAACTTCTTCACAATGAAAGCATGAGACAGTGGGTGGGTGCTGCTACTTGCCAACAGAAACTTTCTCAGTGGCCTTCACCCACATTTTTGGTTTCAAGCTCAGGAAATTGAAATTAATATTCTACTTTTTTCTATTCCTTCTTGCATTGTTTCAGTTTAACGGTTTCAGGGGCCTGAGGAGGTTAGGTGTCTGGTGGGTCAAGAAAATGAGCAAAAGTTTGAGAAAGGTCTGGGATAATTAAAACATATTATAACAATATGATTTTTTTACATGTAATAATTTTGTTTCTCCTTATATTTAATTTGGAACACAAGATTATGAATGCTTAATATGATGTTGCTAGGAAACACTGTATTTTATCAAAAATGTAAAATACATGATTTCAAGCTGCAGCAACAAATTGCCAGTCACTAAAGAAGAGTTCTCTAGTAGCAAATCAAATATTTAACAAACAGGTGATTAAGGGACCTGGGTTTTGTTGTACCACACTGTGACTGATACAAACACACACACACACACACTGTGGATACTTACAAACTTCTTTACAAAAATTCACCACACAACATTCCCTCACAAATTAAAAACAGCTGGAAAACATAGTACTCAATTACTTTAATTAATTTTTTTTACAGACTCTGTGTGTAGCGTGAGCGCAGAGCAATGATGTGAGTCACTCGTATCTACGTCTTTATCCCTCCACTTCTTCACACTGGTACTTGATCTTCCTCCTGTCTCCTCTTCTCTTTCGTTTAGTCCCCAACATTTATTCTATCTCCTGAAATCCTCCTCATTTACCCAACACACTCCCTCCAAACTCTGGTAACCTCCCACTTTCATTCATGACGTGTGGTCCCTTGACTGGAATGCATCATCCTACAAAATATCATGGGATTACTGTGTGTGTGTGTGTGTGTGTGTGTGTGTGTGTGTGTGTGTGTGTGTGTGTGTGTGTTAAATGACTCAACTCCTAATGTAAAAACTTTTCTCTTTGCCAAAATCAGAGCTACTGGATAAGTGAATGGAAACCATCTACAAAGAAGGACAAAGTATGTGCATATTTAATCTTCCAGAGGTTTAGCAGGTGTAAGCACATGTTTTATTCTAACTTTTTTTTGTATGGCTCCTGTTCCTTATCCAAACCATCTTAGATTGATGAGGGAATTTTCAGCATCTGTACTTTTCAGCCAAAAGATAGAAAACAACCAGCTACATCCGTCAAGCAGCATCAGTCACGATACACAGGGGTGACACCTCACAGCTTCCTGTTTAGGGGAGAAGGAAGTGCTGGAGAGTCGTCTTATATTTCTGGATGAGTTGATAAGAAGCAGTGACTGGAGAGTTTGTCAGTTTAAGGGAAGTACGACAATAGTGAGGTTTTTTTTGAAAAGAAGCTTTTGTTTTGTGTATTTGTGCGCTTATGTCTGATGGAGAGTGTTTCCAGTAACCTGCCAGTAACAGTTCTAATACTTTACTGTGTGATCCTCTGTCTTATTCAGCTTATCCTTCTCTCTTACTTTCTTTTCATCCTGGTCCATGAGCTGCTCTTTTCTCTTTCGCTCTCTGTCTGAAGCCCGTCTTGCAAAGTCACCATCCTTTTTCCTTTTTTCAAATTTAGCTATAACCTGATTTCCCTTCACTCTATTTCTGGTGGCTTCCCTTCTTTCATCTTTCCCTCTTTGACTTTCTCCAGAGGGGTACGTTTTCCCCTCCTTCAAGATTTAAAACAAGCAGAAAATAAAAAACAACAACAACAACAACAGCGGCGACAGCAGTTTTCTCTTTTCATCAAGCATCACTGCAGCTGCCCTTGGAGAATATCTTGCCCTAGTAATTCTGAGCAAAACAACATAGTGCAAAGAAACTGTGGGCACGTGTGTGAGCGCTGTGAGAACTGATGATGACAAGAGGATCACCCCAAAGAGGCAGAGAGTGAACAACAACAGATCAACACATTAAAAAAACTTGACTCCTCATCTCAGTCCTGATGACGTATGTAAGGAAGGGGAGGCGAGAACTGAGGAAGCACAAGTGTTTGAAAACATCGTTATGGACGTGGTGAACGTGGAGCTTTGTTTCTCTTCCCCCTCCTCCTCCGTTACTCAGCTACAGCTCTGCTCGATTCGTAATCTTTCCTGACATGAACACATTCGAGGAGACGCGGCGTGAAACGCTTTCAGTGGCTATGTGCTCGACGAGCGCGCCTGTGAAACAGAGGCTTTAAGGAAAGAAAGAAATACAATCAGAGTGTTCTAACGGGGCGAGAGAGAGAGAGAGAGAGAGAGAAAGAGAGAGAGAGAGACGTCAGCCAGATAGAAAACTGGAGAGCGGTTAGCTTTGGAGAAAGTACAACAGGAAATGAGATGAGGAGAAAGGAATTTTGACTGGATCCAAGATGTAGCTTAAAAGCAGCGAACAACCCAGTTACCCCTGACGATGTGTGTCAGTGAGTGTGTGTGTGTGTGTTTGTAATGCAGATAGAGACACCGTGAGAAAGGAAAAGGAGTGAAACTTATACAATATAATCCTCAATTACAGAGTCAAAACAAGAACCCATACACAACTATAAGTCATAACTGTTTCTCTGAAAATCCCAAAACAGAAAAGCTTTACACCCACACATCTACTCTGTGGCTATTCACAATCGTGTTTTTTCCGAAACTCTGTTGTGTTTTGACCCTCAGGGTCGCCGCATGCCTCCTTCATAACTTTCCAGAGATGTAAATCCAGTCTGTTTTTCAGTGTTATGGCATCTGACGCATTCATCTGTTTTTCAAATGGGACTTTCTGGAATCTACATGTCCACACTAACGCAACCTCCACTGCTGTTACATGTAGAGAATCTCTGTAGATGCTCACGTGGGCCCAAAAATGCAATCAACATATGTTTTTATGGCTTCAAATAACTAATTAAACCAAACTTAATAACATGAATTCTTCCCAAAAGAGAATTTAAAGCATATTGATTGCCACCTGGTGGCTGGCTGCAGTATAGGTCATAAACTCTGCCTTCTCCATGTTAGTTGATGGGACATAGAAAGGACTAAAAAGTGAAGATGTTTCTGTCATTTTAAGTAGTTCTTTTCACACTGATGAATGTTCAATCTGTTTGTGTCCTGGTTCACTAAGGTTTCATTTATGTCAGGCATTCAAGCGCAGGAAACTATTTTATAGCTACACCATAACAGCCTCATTAAGAAACATGTCTCTAAATTTTAATCAAGCCTGACGTATTTATTCTTTGGGATCTTGCCGACAATTTCTTAATAATGTTCTCAGCAGCGCTTAAAAAGCTGGAGAATACTGTGCTCCCAACAGAAAACAGATGAAACGAAACACATCAGGAATTAATAATCCACACATTTCCTGTCGCCGTAAGTGTCAATACTTATGATTTGTCTGGTTTAGCAGCTGATTTGGTTTATTAGTTGGTCACAGTCAGCATTTATACGCTGCTTGCTGAACCAAGGAGGAGTAATAACCCCACACCGAAACCAGTTGAGCTGCTGAGGTTTTTCACACACAGTTGCTGGAGCAGCATGAGAGTTAAAAGCTGAAGGCGATAAACTGGTGTTCTGTTACTGATCAAACTCACTCTCTGCCTGGTGAAGTCTGGAGCTAATGTTCACACAGATCCGTTAGTCTCAATGGAAAACTTGTGTAAAAGTAAAATACACAAACGGGCAAACAGGGCACATGCAGTGAAGGTACACTGTACAGAGACAATCAGCTTATGATCTGAAAGCTAGTATGTTCATTGATGATGGAAGTTAGAAGTACAAGGAGAGGCTGAGTGGACAGGGTTGCTTCCTCAGGTCTGTACGTCCTGATCGGGACCCGTTTTAACCTCAACAACTCCTCCATTCTTTTACCTAATTATCACAACACATTTTGACTTCCAGAAATAAATGCTTAAAGATGTAGAGTAAGTTCAACTCTTCAATCTCTGCTCCGTACAGCCGCACACACAAACAGGCCTGTCACACACAATAGTGAGACGATATGATATCTTTTGCAATCACAGCAAAGAAAGTGCAAGCAGAGTCCCTGTAATGTGGCGAGCTGACATTGCTCATGTAGGTAGAGGTGAGTATTACCTTGCAAAACCTAATTTAATTTGTTACAGAACTGAAGTTTTGAACGACTTGTTGTTGGGCTAATCTCACTTTTTCAATTGCTTCTCATGCTTCTCGACACTTGAACTTCTCTCTTGACTGCAGAGCCAGGTGTATGTTTTCACTCTTGTGTCATTGCCAGTAGGTAGAGGTCGTTCCGGCAAG